ACTTGGCCCCCTCAACAGCGCTTCTCAGAGTCGTTCAATGTCTCGGTACTTCTTCCTCAGGATGGAGACCTGGTCTTTAAAGAGGACAGGGTCGAGCCTCATCTGAGAGTGGATCAGCGGCATATAGCCAAACCAGCTGGCGAAAGTGTTCATGCAGCTCTGCCGCTGGGCAAAGTGGTCGGGGTCGGCCCAGCGCGAGGCCCGGGATGTCTGTGTGGAGAGGAAAGCAGAATCAGACGTCGGCCACAACACAACAAAATGTCAGGAAAGGGGGGGTGCCGCAGCCGGGCTGGTGCCCGGCTGCAAAACTGGGGCTTGAGAGTGCGTGGCTCTGAGGTAGCTGAAATCTGCTCGGCGAGGGCTTTCAAAGGAGGGGAAGGACACCCTGCCCGCAGCGGGAGCCGTCCACCCCTGACTTTCAAAACAGCGCTGAGGGCAGTGCAGTGGGGTGACCTGAGCGCGGCCATGAGCCAGCCTGACCTGGAGCATGACACCTGCGAGCAGGCTTCCCAAAGCCTGCCAGCACACTACTTCACCCCGTCCCTCACTCTTTTTTTCTCTTCAAACTCTCAAGCTATTTCAGAGATAGAATAAGTCCTTAAAAACCACTAGGAAAGACAAGAAGGCCACCACTTTCCACTAAAGGTGTACATCCAAGCACAGGCCAGCTGCTGCCCACGGCCTTCAGCCGTAGGAGGAAAACACACTGCAATTATTATGGTTTGTCAGGTTAAAAATGCACTTTTGCAGTCCAGATCTGCAGAAATTTATACACAAGTAATTTCAACCAGCTTGTAACTGAGCTCAGCAGAAGTCCTTATGTGCTTGGCATTACTCATGCATGTAGACGTCCTGCAGGGAAAAGCAGGGTGCTCCCAGGAATCCCACGGGCCGAGGCCAGTGCATGTGACAGTACCATCTTACAGACAGGGAAAATTAACTGAAGTTCCACATTACATCATGTTAAACTCTGATCCGAGGAAAAGATCATGGTCTTTGCATGCATACATGCAAAATACTGTGGTCTGATTTTCCAGAGTTCAAAGCAGCTGTAATTCCTGTGAAAGCCCATTGAAACTCAGCACCTCTGGAAAAATAAGGCCCTAACAGCTTTGAAGTAGTTATTATTCTCTATCTGTACCTAAACTACATTTATAAACATAATAAAACTATTATTTAAGATAAAGTATGAATGCTGAGAACCTAAGTTTTTTTTTGTGCCTCTTCTCATGCATGCCTCTATAGCCCTTATGTTTCCACTATACTTTAAAAACAAATACGAATTCATAAACTTGAAGTATGTTAATTAAAACATGAAGAAACTGATAAAGTCAGGGACTTGCCAAATGAATGTGGTATCAGACTTGATCTTTGTCCAAGGTCTGTCCAGTTTAGCTCAAGTGGTAGGTTATAACGTGCATTGATTACAGACTTTTGATTATACCGAGCCACTAAAGAGCAAGCAAAAGCTTGTCGCTGGAGGATTATAGCAGACATTCTGGCCATTAACACTGAATTTCCATTCGACTATTAATCTCTGTCACAACACTGAGGTTACGTTAATTTTTTATTTGCCTTTCAAGGAATTACGAACATGGTCCATTACATTTCCCAAAGCTGCAGGAACAACTTGTCTTTAGGAGAGTTATAGTTCATGGCTGACTCAAGTCACCCATGCTATAGGAAGAAAAATGAATGTTCAGACTTTGCCAAACAGCCAAAGCACGGCCCTGTGGAGATGTGAAGCTCAAACTGGAAGCAATAGGTACTTTCTGGATGGCACCTTCTCGTTCACAGAAGGTCTCCTGGGTACCCAGATGAGTCAGAATTGCTGAATGCTACCTATACCTCAGATGAAGATGCAGTGGCATACAGGTAAGGGAATCTACAAACTGGCATGGCCACTCCCCAGTCAAAGATCCAAGTAATGCTAATAGGAGAAAATGTGAGGGGAAAATTCTTTCTTCTTTCTCCTGCCCCCTAATAATCATGGTACTGTTTGTAGTGAGGATCACAGACACCGAGGCAGCACAGATGGGAAGTTTTTTAGGACTATTCCCCGCATCGCTTTGTCAGACAGGGCAGGATTACCATGTATCCCTGTTGCTAGAAGGTATATCCACTTCTTCAGGGACAGAGTGCTTATCCAGCAGCTGGAAGAGGATCTAAAGCAAGCATTTCATGGCTGCTAGTGAGTGATGGTGTCACCATGGGACAAAAAGTTCCTTGTGGGAAAAAAATGCTTAAATATCACAAATTATCTCTGTTGTGACAGTCTGATGACAGTGCTTGAATCACACTATATACTTTAAAATAGCGCAAGGATGGCCTGGTACATTATATTCATTAATAACAATGAAAAATAGAAAACGCCTTTCCAGTTTACTTCTGCTTCTAGCATTCCATGACTAGGTCTTAGGTCTAGAATATTTAATTAGAAAACTAGAGTTTAACTGAAATTTGGTCACCACAATCATCAGTTCGATGAGTTTGGGATCACTGTGAACAACACCGTGTGAAAAAACTATGAAGAGAAGCTGTCATCCACAGTAGCTCCTTTTCCTTCATTATAATAAGCATATCTAAAGTCCATTTAGTTCTGCTAAACTAAAAACTGCAAAAAAATTGACAGAATTGCATCACTCTGTAAGCCTAACCTAGAAGTCAAACCGTTATATCATCAATACATCTCAACTGCTAAAACATGCTGTGGATACATACCTGTCCCATCATGGTCTCCTTATACTGTTTTTTCTGTGTTACTTTGATTGGAGGCAATTTTGTCACAGCTGACACCAAAAAATTCATTAGAATGTCCTCACAATTGGCCAGTTGGTCCACCATATTCTTTAGGCTGGCAGGCAGGTAATGAGTGTACAGGTAGTGATAATATCTGGAAACCAACAATAGCATTATTAAGAGAAGTCACTGGGCTTTCAGTGATTACAAACTCCAGGAAATTTCTCTCTCAGTTGAGACACAAGTGTTGTACTCAACTCTGGATATACCACTTCCTTTCTTGACTTCATCCTCCAACACGAAGGGAGAACAAAACAGTATCTCCCCAAGACAGTAAATAGTGCCAATGGAGAAACAAATCACACGCCCTTTTAGTAACTGGGTTGAAAGAAATAATGCAGACCTAATATCAAGATAATGGAGAAGTAAGAAACAGAGCACCACATTGCTATAATGACAGACAACACTGATGAATTCATCCTCCACCTCTTCTTTCAAAACTGTTCAGTCAGAGAGAACTCTGTATAACTGGCCTGCTATTGTCCTTATTGTTGTTCTTTGGGCCTATATCATCCCCTATAGCCTGTCTTCTCCTTTGGGGAGATGTGGATTAGGTACTTCAGAATTTGCTGACTTTCTCTTAAAATCTAGAGAGGTCTTTGGTCTGCTGAAGTCCTAACAACAGACGTTTTCTCCAACGTGCTGCAATATGCCGATCTGTGACATGTCCACTGTACTTCCAGAGTAGCCAGAAGACTTTGCAAGTCTGCAGCTGCAGCCAACACATACCCAGAGCTGGTCTGGAAGTAACCTCCTTTCTGCTATGCTACAGGCCATTCAGCCGAGCAGCTTAATGAATTCGGGAACTCTTTGAAGTGTGTAATTCCTGATGTTAAAAAGAGCAGTCCGACTGCCTCAAAATACAAGTGACTTCAAAGAGACCCAACAAGCGCAATAATGATTACCAGATCCTCAGAGCTAAACCAAGAACTTAAATTATTACCCCATAAAAAGTAGACCCATTTATTATCTTTCCATTTTTTCCCCTCCCCGGAAGAATGTTCTTCACACACACACCCACCCACCCACCTCTCTTTACTATTTTGTTTTATACAGAAGGAGGACAGCAGATGCTCTGGGTTCTTACTTGTGGTAAATAGCAGCTCCTGTCAATACCATGGAATAGTCATTAGTCCATTTGGAGGTATACCCCCACCTCTCCTTAGTGTTGTCCCAGAAGTGACTGCGAGCAGGGTATCCTACAATCCTCTCTGGAAAACTCTGCCAAACTGTAAAGGCAAAATCCACCTGCGGACAAAGGCACAGGCCAAATGAATACAGAAACTGTTTCAACAAATGTCAACAAAACAAAATATTACCTTGCCACTAATTCATAATTCAAAATCTTGGAACTGTTGCAAAACATGAATTCTATGTATTCATCAGTAAATTAAACTGACTGCTTGACATTTTGCCCTATAATTATGCACATTTTAATGGTTCCTGTTAAAGGGAGTCTAGAGCATCACAGCATTACATTAACATTTTCAAGCTTGCCCTTTACATATCAAATCTTTTCAACTTACAGAAAGAATGGGTGTAGGTGCATGTATTTATACTTAGACGCAATATAGAGTGGTAATAGCTATGTGGTAGACTGAACCTTTTGCACATCTCTGTGCATCTCACCTACCGTTTCAGTACTCTTAACACAAAGCTTGGAAAATCAGGAGTCAAACACCTTAAATCATAAGGGTGGCTCAGTGAGATTAAAACAGGCAATCAATGTGGAGTCCTTTTATATTTTCCATCTGTTTTGAGCCTTTGATGATCACTCAGGTCATACTTTTAAGACTGTCTATATGACCAAGAGGTTTAAACATGTAGCTTAATAAAGAGGAAGATAAGTTTTCCATGTAGTTAAATGGCTTTAGGAGCCTATACTTTAAGAATAATCCTTGATACTGTATGAGCCACAAGATGTCAAATGCTGCCAATAGTGGTTTTCTTATTTTATTGTCTTGCTGTAACTATTTTAATAACTCAAATCTCTGAGAATTGAGAAGGTGACAGGACATTGCTACCCCAGGATCCTACCAAACAAATCTTGGTGATACTAGGAAAGGGATGATTGGGGTAGTTTGCAGAAGGCTCGTCAGCACTACATTTGAAAGGAGTTTGGTAAAAATACATATGAAAAGATTTTTATCACTGTAAAGTTGGTTGGCAGTCCCTCCACTTCAACTTAGATTTTGGAGCTCAAGCTAGCCTGAAATTTTTAAAAAAGTTAAAGACAATTCTAATTGTCCTGGTCAAACCCAAGAAAACGAGGGCTTTGTTTCCGCACTGCACACCAAGTTCTCTCCAGTACCAGAGGGACCTAAAACTTTGCTCAAAAATGCCTGAGAAACCTTTCAAGAACCAGCCAAAGTCAAGAGTGTAGAGGTCAGATAAAGAATAGCTGCTCTGAGAATAGTCACATTTTGTGTGATTACTGTCAGACTTCTCGCATTTACAAGTGTTTTTATGAAACAGAAGAGTCACACATGTACTGGAACACAAAGTTAGGGATGGGTTATTTTCTTTAAAGTTGTTTCAAGGAATCTGAGGCCAACTAGAAAGACAATGTGCGCAAACCAGTTACCGTTGTGATAGTTCTGATCTCATCCAAATCAACACCACATGAAAGAACTAAAGGGTTTTTTTCCCTGTAAAGGCCTTTCCCATAAAACGTGACATCTGTTTTCTTTAGAGAAGTCTGAGAATCTCGAACTTAAATAAATAATAAAGCAGCTGCACTCAGTGCCCTCACTGGTGCTTTCAAGTATCTCTCCTTGTACCAGGAAGACGCACTAAAGCAACTGCCCTAAGAGAAAACTCCCTTTATTAAAAAAACACCAGTCCTCATCCTATACAATTTCCAGCAGCACTACAACTCAGCTGATCACCAACCAGACTGCCAGTCTCTTAAACCCTCGTATCACTTCTGACCCGTGCTGATTTCTAATTACTTCCCGTGCAAACACCCCTCTGCGCATGTGAAACAGCTCCTCTCACAAGAGCAATTGCGCACCGTTCTGTTGCAAACAGAAAACCTTTACTACGTTACAGCTGGACAGTGCGGAGGATGTGCCTGGTGACTGGTCCTCTCAACACGAATGTGATCGTGTTTGATCATGTTTCTAAATTGCCTTTTCTGGGCCCTGAAGTTTTGCCACAACAACCACCCATGAGCAGCTAGTTTCAAGGGAAGTTTAACACCACACCTTTCTTCTCAGTGTTCCAACACGCTGTTTCTTTGCGTGAGCCGTGTGATGGGGGAAGTGAAGCAACAGAAAGGTCCCAGTTCTTCACAGAGAGCCACCAAAGAGAGCTGCTGACCCTGGCACCCCGGCAGAGCCACGCCAAAGCTGCAAGGCAGGTGCTAGCAAGAGCTGGCCAGCTGGTTCTCTCTGCAGCACAGGGGCCATGGGGCTTGTAGAGCCAATACCCACGGTGCAAACATGCAATATTGGTTGCAAGCTGGTCACAGAAGGGAAGAAGCCACAAAGAAATGTGTATGTTGTCTCACACAACAACAAATATTTGCACTTTAGAATATTTAGGGTAAAACAAGGCCAAGCTGAATGAGAAACACTATTTATTTCATGTGCGTTCCAGAAGCCTGAATGACTCCAAAGTTGGGATGATGACTAAACAGTCAAAACAAAACAAAGCCCTAAATCCTCACGGATCCACAGGCTGGATTGCTGTAAATATCACCTCAGGGCAGTGAAGTCTCTGAGAGGTCTTACCATGGCCCCAGGACAGTTGAGACAGGACCCTTCATCCTGCGCAACAACCTGCTTAGGAACTCCAGCCCTAGGACAAATGCCTTTTAATGGTTTTCGATTTTTTTGGCTGTGAAAGGCTTTGCACACAAGCGCTTTGGCAGCAGCCGTATTCTTCCTCATCTAGCAGAAACTACCAAGGTGTAATCTTGGTATCAAATAGGTTCAATGCCAACTACTTCTTCCATCTGTGTAGCAGAGGAGGGCCACCGTGGCTCCTTCTGGAGCAGTCTAACCACAGCACAACAAATCCGTACTGAGGAGAAGGGCGGTTGCAATCTCATCCATTTGGAACAAATTCAGTGACATCTTAGGGAATATAGCAGCGACTGGTGACTAATATTAGGCATTTCTTCACTGACATATAAGCAGTAGCAGCATCAGTGAAAGATCCCCATCAGTGACAAAAAAGCATTTTTATAAAGGTGAAGTGGGGAGAAGGGAATGGCCATGAACATGGGGGGAAAAAAAGGAAAACAAAAGAAAATCGAGTTTTTCACGCTATTCCCTGGCCATCATTAATAATGTATTTCCCAAATATTGCACTCTATATAAGCTGTCATCAGTTTCCCCTGTGGTTCTCAGGAAGAGGTTCCAGAAATCAATACTCATCCCAGTTGTAAAAATTGGTTTTCTACAGTATTTTTCTTTTCTTAGCGCTATCTTGCTCTTGGCACAAACACTCCAACACCTAAACTAGCAAAGATCTCTAATTTTATGGGGCAACACAAAGATGAGAGAGCTTTCCTCAGTGAAATCCTGCATTAGGGTGGCAATGTCGTCTTTTGGAGTGACAGCAGTCCCGTTGCTGACACCGCTTCCTTCCCCACCTACACCCTACTGAAAACATGGGGGGAAAAAAGCTACCCCAATCAGAAAAGTGAGAACAGAGTATTAATGCTGACTGCTCTTGGCTGCCTACACCCGCCTGCAGCTATGCTACTAAAATAATAACGAACGGAAGAACCATATGCTAATGATGAGCCAATTAACCAGGGTGAAAAGCTCCTCTGAAGGCACGCAGTGGCAGGGTTGCTGAAGCAAGTGCAACACGTTAAATCTGAGGAGCATAGCAGGAAATCTTGTAACATTTGCTCACTGGCAAAGCCAAGAGAAGAGCCTATCTGCTGTGCTCAGGCTGAGCTGAGGAGCCCAGCAGACCCCCAGGATGACAGAGACCCTTACCTCAGTGGTTGAAAGCACGGTGTCCTCATCCAGGCTTAGCACTGCATCTGTCACTATGTTGTCGTAGGGTAGGAAGCGACTGCTCATAACCTGTGGGTATCCAAGGCAGGAAGGGGAGGAAAAAAAAATCACTTGAAGGACTCATTTCCAAGGGAAATACTCAATTTCATTCCTCATTCTTATTTCCTCTTGTCTGAGGTACATCGCATATCTCTGTCTGATGGGAAGAACTCTTCAACTCAAGAGCGGAAGACTGTAATTTTCGTCACCCAGCAGTCATCCCACACCTTCCACCTGAGGAGTAATTTCTAAACACACTTCCCTCTTTGGAACAGGCTGCTTTCCTTTTGTGACAAACTGCAATGGTCTGTACTGAGAACTACATGTACCCACAGCTTCTTTAGGGAGGACATTTTCCCTGGTAGCTAGGACTGTCCCTCTGCCCTCCTACAGCGTGTGAGGATCAAAGATAATGAACGCTGAGAAGGACTTTGCAGCATTCATAAGCTCACGCAGCTGGGAAGTCAAGCAGTCCACGCTGTGCGTGAAGGATGTTATGCTACCAGGACGGCTCCCCTGTAATGTGGTACAGCTCCAACTCTGTGCATTGCTGTTGTATCCACAGGGAGCTGATGGCAAATGGCGCAACATTCTCCATCAAAAAAGGAGAATATGCTAAAAAACATGTGTATCAGTTGAGCTTCACCTGCATCAAGGATTATATTGGTACTGCAGCTTTTTTAAAAGTCACATTCTTAAGTGACATAACTATATATATATAAAATCTATATGCAGAATAAGTTTTTAAAAACTATGGCAGGACAGTTCGCAAAGTAATAGGAAATAGATGCCAAAGCGGGATCAAAAAGATAACAGCAAGAAATGAGAATCCATATGGTTTCTTTAGCAGGCTAATTAGCACCTTTTGAGAACTGATGAATAGCAACAAGGACACAACACTATTTGTTTCCCTCATTTGCTAGGAAAAATAGCCTGGCTAGTTAATAGACTTCTTTTCCAATTTATTATGCCAAGAAAACACTGCAAAAATCAGGCCCAGTGAGAGGAAATGACTGCATGGAAACAGGGACATGGAGAAGTTTTACACGTCCCTCATAATGGGCATGGTCAGTTCTGTGTCCCTTGCAACCTGTTTGGAAGCAAGTCCTTGGAATCTATGCCTTGATTCAGAGAAAGCTCTGCCTCCATAATCGGGCTGTTCAAGGTGTCTGTCTGGAGAGCATCCCTTCATCACTATGCTAGCTTCGGTCCGGGGAGGCAGCAGCTGTGAGGAAGAGGTGATCTGGCAGGGTTGATGGTTTTGCTTTGCTTACGCTAAGGCAAAGCAGAGCAAGCGGTCGGCAGGAGACCCGCGTTCTTACTCCAGCTCTTTTACAGACCACGTAAAATAGTCAAATAATACAACAGTTAGGACTACCCATGTATTTGTTTTTGTAGCTAAAGATCCCTTTTCTAAAATGAGTGTGATAATATATCTTGATTTCATGGGGGAGAGTAAAGGTTAGGTAGAAGCAGACCTCTGTGATCACCTGCACAGAGTAACTGTGCCTGCCAGTACACTTCAGTTAAGTCTGAAGATGAAAAGCAGTTCCTTTGTGCAACCTTTGAATTGCACTGCTCTGCTTCTGCAAGCTTTGTCCAAACAAACAGCTTTTCTGTGCAAGAAGCCATTTGGCACACGTTGGGATATTAGAGAGAAGAGACTGTCCACTATAAACACACCTTTGTGTACTCAGGAGACTCATTTGTAGTATAAACACTGCCTAGGGCCAACTTCTACAAACACTGTAGAACTGGTCAGAGATTTTCTCCTCTATCTCACCTCTGCAAGTTTTCCAAAAAGAAAGAAAAAAAATGCACAATGTTCAAAAGGCTCAGAAATCACTACAGCCTTTCTTGGCCCTGCAGCAACTCTCCTGATACTGTTTACATGGCTAGCTAAGGCAAAAGCCATTAGCTGCCAACCTCGCAGGGCTCTCGCTTTCCCCTTGTTAAGGTGACTAGGGGAAAAGACCAAAGACAGGACTATAAATTGGATTAGTACAGTCAAAAGGACCGCACAGCCAAAACAACTAAAAGTTCTCTTTGCAAACACAGAGCTCAAGAGCCAGCTGACAGAAACTGCAGAGGGGATCAGCCCAAATCAGTCTCAGTTAGAGATTAGAAGCAAGAAGTCTTGCTTCTCTCAAGCCTGCATTTGGAAAGGAATCATCCACTTCAGTGTGGATTTAAAAAACCCCCTCTTTTCTCATCCAGGTGGTGTCTGTTTTGACTTTGTGGAAGTGCAAACAAACAAGTGTGTTGCACAGCAAGACGACATTGTGGTTTTGTTCCCACAGAAGTGTCCCTTGTCCCTTCATTTTTTTTGGTGGTGGGATCCCATCCCATCACTGGCAGCAGTACCCTACAAGGCCATGAGAAGGCCTCTCATCTCTTCCTCTGCTTTTGAGTCCACAGCTGAGCCTCAAGTCTTGCATCTGACTGCTCAGACTCAATGAATCCAGCTGCATCACTACTTTCATGCACCTGCAGAGAGACAGAAATCTCCAAAGACGGAGTCAGCACTACCTGCTCTTGGGGCCACATTTCAAAACCGGGTCCCACCTGTGAATCTCAGATTCATGGCATTGATTGCCATGCTGATGATTTCACAAATGAAACTTGAATCTGTGACCAAGCTGGTATAAAAGGCCAAGGAATAGAAAGCAGCTGTCACACCGTTGGGATCTACAAAGCTTTCACCAAACAGCTGGAAAAATAAATTCTGGTCCCACTGGAGAATAGAGGCAATCTTTTACCATGCTTCTCTCCACCTACCTTGCTCTCTCCTTCAATGACTATGACAGGCACAGAAGTGGCAGGCCAGCGGTGTTTGGCTGGGAGAGGTTTATCACAATTCCATAAAACAATAATCTGAAAGAAAATATTGGACAATGATCAGAGACCTTTGTGGCAATGCAGTCCAAACTCCAAGGACTCAGATCTCAGAACAGAAATGTTAAATTCAAGTTAGGAGTTTCAAAATCAACAACAACGATACAAATCTGTATAAAAATAACACTTCCTACAGTAATTTCACCCAGCCTGACTATTTACAATATACGTCCTCTCAGGCAAATATAGGCTGGACAGGAACTCAGGAAGTCTCTCTCTCAGCCAGGTCATACGGATGTCACTGGTTTACTTTGGCTCTCATTAAAGGCTAAACCACTTGTGACACTCCACTGCAAGAGGGTGCTCCTACTGAACTCCCCAGGGTTTCTTTTAGAGAAACCAGAATCGTGGCACTGCTCAGACTACGAGCCACAGCGGGAGGAAGGAAGATCACGTAGGAGCCCTTGAGGCACGCACATCCTTTTGCAGTTTGCAGCACACACAATTCTGATCTTTAAAGTGCAGCCATTATTCTACCTGCCTCATGAAACAAAGGGGTTTAATTACCATCTCTATTCCACTCCCACTATACTCAGTATTTTTGTTTCCCATGCATGCAGGTCACAGACAGTAGAAATCTCAGAGAAAAGAAACATCAGAATTGAAACAGAGGGTTGAAACAGGACTGCGTAGATCTGGAGTCAGTAGGCTCTTCACTCCTGGGAGAGCAGTTTTTTCTCCACTCTGACTGACAATCAAACAGCACTGCTTACCTGTGCACAGTACTGGGACTTGGCTACAGCAACCAGGAGTTTCAGCACAGGCTGAGATTGGGAAACCAGGGGAGTTACTGCATGGATAACGGCAGTGAATGTGGAAAGAGGCTTCAGACCTGAAGTGAAGAGATTATGTGTTCAGTAAAGACAAAATTGCCCCAGTTAGTACAGATTAAAGGACTATGGAGATGGAAAAATAATCTGCACTTAATGCAAACCTTGCCATGTTTTTTTAGGCCATCTCTTTTCATCTCAGATACTAGGATACCAGATGCTTCAGAGGAGATCACACTTCCCTTTAACTCCCACAGCCTCTGAAATCCCTGACTCCAACACAATTACTGCCTTTTCTTACTCACTATTTCTACAGACATCCTGTAATCTCTTTCTTTCATCCAGTTTGTCCCACAGATAATATTGACACCCAGTTTGTTCAATCAAGTGTCTGTCTTGACATGGGCTCTATTTTGTTGCCTGGCTCCGGATGCGTGATGTTTTCTACAGATCATCTCCACAGCTTCCAGAAGCTTGTTCAGTTTCCTCAGTTCCATTAAAGCCTCTGTCAGATTTTTGCTCTTTCTGGGTCGAGCTCCATCCACATGCATCTTCAATTACCTCCTGAGCTGATAATTCTGCTTGCATCCTTGCCTTCCATTCTGGTATTTTTGTCTCACTATGATTTCCTTTTCTGCCTGAAATAACAGATCCTTCTGGCGTCTACCCTTCATTACTGCTCTCAGTCTCATCTAAATTCATCTGTGTGGGGTCATAGTCGTTTTTCATCAAAATTCCCACAGAAACCTTCTTCTCCCTTTTTAACATGGTAACTGTGAATTTTTAGCAGGTGAGCAGTACAGATCCACACAAGTGGGATGGCACAGGCTGAGCCAGACGTAGCAGCAGTCTGGTAAGCAGGATCACTTCAGCCTGCAGGCACATTCCCTTGCAGAACTCATTGTTTAAGCTCTGCTTTGGGGAAAAAGCCACGAACCTAAGCTCCATTCATTCCTCCTAGTGGGAACCATATGAAGACACATAGTATGGAGAATAAATCCATACCAACTATGCACTCCAATAACAAGTGTCATGGGTAAATTACCACTTTTCCAATTTGCCAAGCACAAATAAATAAAGCAAGCAAAAAGCTATTCCTCTTATGTCCCCTTGGGCCATGAATGGGTCAGCAACTCAGGCATTAATTACTGGCAACTGAAAAGTATGAAGGGACATAGATTTTTTTTAAAACAATCTTTGCAAGCAAGAGGCACAAGATGCATGTTGATGAGTCAGAGACATTCCAGTCTACAGTGGGCAGGGAAGATTGAGACAGGATAAACGAAAGGCATCATTAACTAGAAATGAGTAAGTCACTTGGCACATGCTACTCAAAGATCAAACTCCAAATTTCCACTAGAAATTCCGAATACCACTAGATTATAGCAAAGATTCACTCACCGAGATTAGCATAGTAGTAAGGAAAATCTCCCAGATATGAGGAATACTGTGGCAGTACAAATAACCCTCCGGGATGTTTGTTCCATATTAAGCTGTTACGTGATATGTGCTTAAATATTCTGTCCTGAATAATCTGGAAAACAAGAGAGGTGAGGATTTTTAGATAGACTGTAATAGTCACAGGTAGAAACTCCAGAGACTCCAGCTGACTGGAATCCTCACCCATTTTGCAAAAAGCTGAGGCACGCAAATTACTAGACACTCCTGCTTAACCTCTCTTAAAATGACAGAGAACCTGCACACTTTGACACCACTTCAGCAGCTCAGGCTTTGTGCAATAGCTTTCAGAGCACCTTGTCAGTGTCTCTGGACATGGGGACCTTGCAATTCATTGCATTTTGTATTTCAAGTCAAATATTTTGTCTATTAGAGTATCTTAGCAGTTTTAAGCCAGATATTAGTTCATTGTCAGTTTTACTATCCAGAATTCAGAGAAGATAATTATTTGAGGATGGCATTACAAAGCTAGGTATTATTTTGAGATAATGAGAGCGTTCAAAACCACAAAGACTTTCAGCAAATCAGGCTGCACTAATTATTCTTTTTTGTTTAATTATAAAGGGATATTAGCATTCAGATACATCACTGATTCCACGTCTCAGTTCTACAACAGTTCCTTGTTGGATGAAACAGAAAAAGATCTTTTGGCAACTACTGTCTGTCTCTGTAGAAGGCCACAAACATAGATTTCTGGATTTTTAAGATCAGAACAGATTGCTAGGTCATCTACTCTTATCAGCTAGAATACCACAAGCCACAAAAAAAAGATACAAGGCTGTACAATTAATATGTATTTATAAAAGCAACTACAGTTACTTCACATCAGACGCCTGCATGCAGGAACCATAGTGGTTCTTACACAGATAGGAGCTTTTTCAAACCTGCTGCAAAGGCATAACAAGATTCTGTGGTGGGAAGCTGTAACCAGACAAATTCAGCCTGCAAATAAGATGCAACTTTCTAAGTGCAATCTGCTCTTGGGCCACATATTCTCACAGATTTGCCTTCCCACAGAGCATCAGAGGTTGGCAGGTCTGGAGATGGGACATTGCAAAGGGCCAGGGGGTGGTGAAGAAAGAATTATCCCCTAAGTCAGCTAAGCAGGATTGCCTTGCTTTCTTCTGCAGCTTGTCTTCTGCAGTCTCCTAAGGAGATTTCATGTAACTGGCAGTTTATGCACCGCACAGGGCTCAAGTGCCAAGAACACGCTGGTTCTCCTGACCTAACATCTCTGGCCTTAACATAGGAGTACCTGGGTGAAACTCTCCGGCTCTGAAGTTGGACTAAATCTGATCCCTCATCATTCATTCTGGCCTTAAAATCTATGGAACTAAAGAAGTTATATATCCACAGCACAGGGAAACCAAAAGCAAGCAAAAAGACCCAACACAAGCTGAACAAAAGCAGCTGCTGGAGTCTAAACAAGCTAAAATCTGTAAGCAGCTGAGTTCAGGGACATTTGGTCAATACAGAACACGAATAAGTGTTGCCACAAGCAGCAGTTTTCCTGGAATTTTTGATTGCCATGACAAAAAAACATTAAAACAGCAGTTACATTCTGCTAGTCAATCCACTGCTGGTGGCAATGTATGTACTGCTAAACTGGGGCAAATGTTAGGTGTTTGCATGCTTGTCTGAATTTTGCCTACAGTCAATTACCATAGCTAATATGCAGTAATTCACTCACATGAGTAAGTTAATTTAAATTTTTTTTTGTCTCAGAATAACAGACATAAGACTGTATTTCCATCAGTGACAAGAGTGTATATGAATATTTCTGTTCAGAAAGTTAGGTGTATCAGTTGTCAGATCTCCTGCACGGTAGTAGGGAGAGGAAAAAAAAAAGATGATGACTGATGTTTCTCCATCTGCAAGTTATGCCACTAAACAAAGACAGAACCTAGAAAGCACATATTTGAGTGTTTACCACAAAGCTTAAATATTACAGCTCCTTCCTCCTGCTTTCTCAGAACTGGGGCGTAATCAGATAAGAAGTCTGCAAATTTACACGGTCAGGAGGTTTTCACAGACGGTGGAGTTTTCCACCACGCTGGTAGCCAACAAGGCTGCAGGGGAAACACATGGCTTGCATTCAACGCTGCCTCAGTGCACCCAGAGAGAGCGCAGCTCTAACGTGGAGCAGTCCCCCGGTGCCACGCAGCACACAGAGCCTTCAGTGCATGTCAGGCACACAAATCTCACCAGCGCAGTTCCACACCAGGCTGGGGAGTTGGCCTTGGTGATTTATCACAGTTAACAAACGGAAGATTAATTTATCACACTTCTGGTCTACATAAGAAACCTAGCTGTCTGTCGTGATAGATAGGAGAAAAGACAACTTGGCAGAAAGAACAGAAAAGTTTAAAAACAGGTAACGTGGAGGACCAATCAATTAAAATGCAGAGTGTATAGCGTTGCACATATTGCAGAGACAGCAGCTACATGGTCTCTCCAATGATGAAGCATGACAGGAAGTTTAATAAGAGAAGGAAAGGGTTAGGATCTCTGGTGAGATCTCCCTTTTCTTTTTGGAATTCATTAATAGTCCAATATTTTTGTCTCAACCTCGCTCTTCAAAAAGTTCACATATTGCCTTAATCATTGCTGCTTCTCAACGTGCCCCAGCCAAGCATCAAACATTTCTTGTCTGTACTTTGTGAAGGACTGAGCATGCTGCACAGGGATTTAGGGATGTTTTGGATTTGTTTTCAGAGAAGACCAAGCTGAAAAAGTGCAGATACACTGGAGCATGCAAGCGGATGGTGGTTGCAGCAGTCTCCTGCTGTGCTGTCATTGCTCCCACTCACCAGCCTGCGGCAGACACTCATGAACATCATTTCCTAACCCATACCACGTCCACGGCATGAGGCAGTTCCTCCGTGCCTGCAATATGGGGTTGCTGACTAAATGATTCAAACCTCTTATTTTGGGCTATGAGGTGTTTGGTTTAGGCCACCAAATGCCATGAGAAGTTCAAGGACCTTAAAATGTGACTTAATGTTTTCAGAGGTGTCCAGCATAAAGGGCAGAGGAGAGCTGTCATATCCTTGCAGACGTCTGAGTTTGTGAAGACTTTTTTGGTACTCATATACTCATACGTGGACATGTATCGGCACTGCAGTTAGCAGGGAAGTGATTATTGTGATATCTAGCATCATCAGAGCACTCTGACAGCACTGTCACAACAGAAGATGGAAAACATCCACCAGAAAAAAAATAATCCTGCTAGGAATTTACTTCCAGGCATCAGATTTTAAGAAGAGGATATACTGCTTGCAGATTTTGGACATCAAAAATCACTCTCAACTGTTTTATTCCTTTCCTAAGGAAAGTGAACTCAGGACTTTACTTAGGCAAGTTGAAATGTGAAATGAGCATCTGTTCATAAGAACAGAATCCCTCTTAGCTGTCTCAAAAATTTCTGAGAGTCCTGAATTAAAAAATAAACAAAAACCACCTCAAACCAAAACCACCCTTGCAAACAAATGAAAAAACCCAGAACATAACTTCAACACCAGGCATACATTACTTGGTTTTATTAAATTAAACCTTCCAGTAAGATTTTTGTTTTCACTTTAGTTTTTTCCCTCCGAGCGGAAACTCCAGCTTGCTGGTTGCCCAGCTGCTTCAGCTTTAATATGGGTTTTGCTGTCTCCCACGCACCTGCGGCCACATGGGCCAACACTACCCAAAGCAGCACTGAAGGCACATCTGCAAGCTCACATCTGTGAGCGCTGGAGCTTGATGTGATGGACACCAAGGCTGTGGGGGCTGCAGGTCACATCCCCTTGAGACCAGCCCCAGCACAGGCAGGAAAGGGGCAGCGAGGAGAGCCGTGCGCCCCTCTCCTTTTAGCAATCCCTAATGATAACGGGGTGCATGCAGGGAAGGGGCAGATGATACATGAGGCAGCCTGATTGTCCCTAGGAGTACTTCTCTAAGGGTAAATTAGACTGTGAGCAATGGCACACGGTTTTCCAGCTTTGTGAGTCTGATCCCGGCATGGGTTGTGATAATTACCAGTACCTCATCAGTGCTTATGGGGAGTTTGAGGGTGCAGAGAAGTTCCCAACAGGCAGCACAGATGAAGAAATGCTCTTCTGAGGGTGAGGAGAGCGTTGCGAGGATAGCTATGCCAGGGGCTCTGAAAATGCTCCCTGGCTGGTTTTCTTCACTAGCACAGAAAAACCTAAGGGACTGTCTTGCAGCAGCTGGAGGTAGATCAGCCATGGGCAACCTGTACTCCAGGCAGCAGCACTCATTTGCAGTTTTCAGGGGAAAGCAGGCACAGCGGGAAATGTGGAGCTTTACAACTGTGCACAAAGACTGATGCAATTACAGAAGCATTAGCATAAGACGAATGCATTTGCAACTACAAAGTGAGCCACTTCCAGTGGCAAAAGTGTGTCAAAAATTTATGTGCAAAATTGCAAAACAATTAGAAGAGAAACCTGCTTTTGAAATAGTAGCCTGGGCCCTACTTCTAAAGAGCCTTTCATCTCTCCTCTGTCTCTGAATTCAGAAAGGATTCTCTCCACATTTGAGATCATGTCTCCCTGTTTAATAGCAGTCTAATTATGATTATTTATTAATATTTTATAAGGATGATCAGGCCTTTCCCTTATCCTGTGTGTGAAGATAAGATACAGAGATTTACAAGCCCCTCCTTTTCCTTGAGTCAGACCAATAGCCCCATCACAAAGCATGAAAATGTTAAGGAACGGTCAAGGAGGAGCTCTACCACAGTATTTTTTCCAAAATAAATTCCAGAAAGGTTTCTTAAAGAAACACATTCACTACCAATGACAAGGATAGTGATTCATAAGCCATAAAGTCTTGTGAAGGCAACATCACACATGACAACGTTTCCATGTGTTGGGTAGCTCCCATTTTTCACTGTGTCAGTTTTGTAATGTGGATTCCAATAATGAAGAAAGTATTTCCTTAGGGAAGAAAACTTACAAGATGCCAAGCTTTTTTCCCAGTGACCAATTGCGTGTCATGAAAATGAAGGTCCAATGCTGGCTGAGGACAGGAGCAGGTGGACAGGTACAGAAACCTCGCTGCTCAGCAAGGTCCCAGACAATTTTTACTCACCTCTAGTGTAGTCAATACAATCTTCTCAACTGAAGAAAAATAAGCCTCCCACAAGAACTGTGTCTGCTGTCTAAGTGCTAGGATTTTATCCTGATGGATAGACCTGATTGTAGAAGGAATCTGTAATACAAGATGTAATATAGTCAGAAGCTTCAGAAAACAATGCAATCTCATCAAATTAATATGCTGCTGACAAGCCCTCTCCTCTATTAGCAAGCTGCACAGCTTCAGCGCTCCTGTCCGACAGAGATGCGTGTGTCAACAGTTAAAGCCTTGATGTAAAATGAATTAGACACAACCCTTTATAACCTTTGGTACTGAATATATGAATTTTTTTTAATCTGCTCTCTTTTAGTTTTTGGTTGTTTTATGGTAACAAAAGCTCCTTCTTCCCAGCACTGCGGCATGGCACAGAAGGAGCTCCTCCATACATCCGTCATGCACAAAGCTTTTCATGGACCAGTATTTTAATAAACTAGTACCTGCAGGTCTTGAGAGTCCAACAATAATCCCCACTCTCAAACTATATTAAAGGGATCTGCAATTGCTGCAGCATGGCAACACTAAGTGCTCTAAGGAAAACATAGCAACATCTTAAGTAAGACTCCACTTTTTGGGAGCCTGTGGATCAAATTGCATTTTACTAATTATTGTGGATGGAAAGAATAACATCTCACACAACACCTGTTATTTACAAGGAAAAACACTGCTGCTTTTTTCCCCTTTCCATTAAATCAACACATTAATTCTAGTATAAGTTGCCTTACAAATAAACCCCAAATTGTCCTGCTGCAATGCTTTGCCATTAAAAACCACAACTGCTCACTGGATCAGAAGGGGAGGGCTTCACTTCTGTGTCTTTCCCATTCCCATGTCCCTCTTCCACACTGGAGGGAAACTAAGGTACATACGTGTCATCTTTTAACTTAGGACATTGACCAACGCCTCCAGTACACCACTTTGACAATGCAAACTGACACTATCAAGGGCATTTAACTGCAATTTGCTTCAATTCCAAGGGCTACTCACATCACCAGAAAGGCATCTAGGATACGTTGCTGATTTGTGTTCATTTTTTTCTAGGAATGAAGAGTTGTGCTTTTGCGCCTATTTTTTTGTGATTTCAAATTAGGCCACCTCATTCTCAGATACTCATTTTTCATAAATCTTTTACCTAAGTTGTTAGTTGTAAAAGCATATATCTGAGCTGTGTGTTGCTTTTTGCGCATCCCAGCTGAAGTTTACCCGCACTCCACCACATCCTGCCCTTTCCTGACCAGAACACACTTTCCTTATTCCTAAAATATTCTGAGAAGTGGCAGTGATCGTTATTTGCTTCCACATGCTCCTGAATCAAATGATTTCATATGAAACATTTTCCTGAAGAAAATTTGAGGTTTCAACAATTTATATGTAAAAAATTTCCACAAGGATCAGTAAATTCTTTACTGCATAGTTTGCATCCCGGTCTCGACACTGCATCCAAAAGGACCATTGCTTCACAGGGTGCAGTGTCAGATGGGACAATTTCTACTCTCTAAGCCCTTTGTCTCTTAGACCTTCACCTTAGAGACACTGCTAGCTGTAACACAGAATTTGAGCCTATGAAGGAGTTAGAACTACAGCAAGGTGGAACAGAAGAAAATGGTCAGACTGTCAAAGATGGTACTTTAAGTTCCTTCACCATAGGCCCTTTAAGTAAAGTATAGATCTTTAGGTAAAATATTCCCTGCAAAACTAGTATGAAAGAAAGAAGTTAAAAACATGTATTAGTACATGTCACTATTCATGATGCGATGCGGTAAATAACTGCACCAAATTTAATCTTTTGGGTTGAATATTCTTTCTTTTCATTACTTTTCCAATGAGTTCCAGTAAGTGGAGGGATAATGAACATTACTTGTACTGGCTGTACACTGATGTGTATTAATCACACCCAGGATCATTATCAGCAGCAAACACAAGATGAAAGTCACTTCACAGTGGTGATACGGCATTTTTTTTATAAACGTAAACATTTCATTGCATTATGTGCAACCTTGTGTGGCTGTGCGTACGTGTGTTAGCAACAAATAAAATCAATACTCATTCCCAACTACGTCTTTTGAAAGGGAAGGCTGCTCTGACTGTGAAGGTTACTGCAAGAAGTTATGACTTTACAGACCACACCATGCTCGCGAGTGCCTGCAAACACAGTGCCAAGGTTAAAAAAAAAACAGCCTTGGTGCCTGCTCCATTACAACAGCTGGAAAGAAAAATCAGAGCTCCCATTTTAACTGCATTTGCCTATTAGTTAGTAATCTACTTGTCCAGAAAGACAGGTGGGGAAAATGTTGTATTAATACTAATCTGGCAGGATTACACTGAAATTATTAGAATGGGATGACGTCTTAATAAAAGGTCATTTCAGTAATAAGTAGGGGGAAGGGAAAAAACACCCTGCACAAATAAATGCAGAAAGGCTGGATTAAGCTCTCCCTGCGCTATGATGAGGGGAATATGCAAATAAAAACATCCGAGCTGTTCTCAAACAGGAAATGAAAAACTGTAACATAACAAAAACATTTCCCAGAGCAGACATTCAGGCCCTCTGCCAGCTCTTTAAAAACACTGTTAATAATGGTACAGTAGCTGTTCAGTATGGAAGCAGCTGTGAAGAGAACGAATGGTACGTTACCGGAAAGCACGAAGATCAACAAATTATTATTATTTAAGGAGAGAAATAATTTTGCTCAGAAAAATGTGCTGTCCACAGAAGTAAAAATCAAATAGTCCTTTTATATTTGGAGCTTGTATCGCATTAAGGAGAATAGGCAGCACTTTGCAAGGCTTGCTAGGCCAGCTCTTCACAAATACCTACTTATTCAGACAAGTAAATAGGCATCTAACAAGATTTTCAAAGGTAATTCATTTTTGGGGTGACAAAACACCTGTACCTTTGAAGGTCTCTCTCCATGGATGACAACAGCTTGCCACTTTTGAAATGAGTTAAATTCAACCATTAAAACCCCCCCTCTTAGTGGTTACTTAGTGGCTGTTCCAGATCTTGTGGATCTCAGCTTCATGCTGGGCAATGGTATTTTATCAAATGCTACTTTGGGGAAAACAATTTTTCAAGAACTTTTCCAAACATCAACTTCTCATACTTTACAGAATGTATTTAGACTATAAAACCCAGTAGGGAAACAGAAAAAAAAAACAACTAGTCAATTTAAAACCGAAGTAGGTGCTGAAGGTGGCAGGGAATTTCTAACTTCTCAGTCTGCTCTTGTTCCACAGTCTCAAGGAGATGAACAATAAGTGACACGAACACTGCTTCAGAAAGCAATGTCACATGGTCCAGACATCAGAAAAGGGACAGATTCTGCTTCCCACAAAACTGTTAGGTGGTAACTCCTGCCTGAGAAAATACCTGCTTTCCTGAGGAATCCCTTCAGTACCTGCCAGCCAGGCACACTGCACTGGTGGGACCCCGAGCATAAACTATTTCTGAAGGACTAGAGCAGAACCTGCTCTCAAATGTTTTCTCTCTCATCACAGCACCCAGTCCAAGACCACTCTGCCTCAGAGGCATCCAGGTGCTCCACACCAGAAGAGATTTCATGCTCTTAGGAAAAATAAAAAGTCTCCTGCATTGAAGAATGTGGCCTGGTGGCTGCAATGACTTTCAGGTCAAAAAATGAATGATGTCAAATTAAGTGAGTTCATAGCTGGTGTGACACAGACAATCCCTTCATGATAAAAATTCTTTTACAGCCCTGACCTTTTGGATTCATCTTCCCCGTCCATTTAGATGGCGGCAGCAATAATCAACTGATCCACTGAAGGCCGCTGTCTTTTTCTTACCTGTAATAACAATCTCTCATCGCCTATGACGGCAGCTTGGTTCCAATCAATCACTTCCGAGAATGGCAACTCCCATCCATTGCTGAGCATAACTGGGACGCAGGCAGCCTGCACGCACACAGAGGCATTGCAGTCGTTAGTGGGTACCCAATGATTAGGGCAAGCTTTCAGGTTTGCACCAACACCATGACTTTTGTTTTCTGCACAAGCTCAGAAGGAGAGGCAACATGGCAAAGAATACCAGAAGCTAGAGGCCACAGGAGGGCAGCCCAAATGTTTATGGTTTTTCATTTTGTGCTTATTCATATTCACCGAAAGGTGGGGTTTGCATGGAGAGTGGCATTTGAAATCCGGTGCTTACGCTGTCAGAGGAGGGTAGAACTGTTAAAATGCTGTAGATGTAACATCGGAGAATTTAATACAAAATGATGGCCTCCCTCACTGCTTTGTGACCCATTCAGCAGGGAGCTAACTCCCTCAATTTTTATATGTTGCAAGACAACCCTACAGAAATCATAGATCATATTTAATTCCAGAGCACTTTTTCCACAAAGGAGGAGTGAATTCCCTATCCTGTTTGATATCAACTCTTCAAAGAGAGGCAACTGCACAAACACAACTCATCTGTCATCACCTCTCCACAAAAATAAGAATTGCTTTCTGTCTTAAACAAAAAGCATACACATTTAGTATCTATTTCATACCAGTATGATCTCTCTAAATTATTTAATCTTTTAGGAGTTGTGCAAGTTCCTCTGCACAGACAGAAAGTTTATGAATAGTCAGTAAATAAGGCAGTATTTCTGTAAACAAATTTCTGTACACAAATGATCACCACTACATGTCAGCTGGATCACAACATAAGACCCAAACCAAAAACCTCCTCATGTGATGAAAGAACCTATTACCAGAGGATCTGCATCAAGCCTGTGCACTGGTTCCGTTTCTTTTGGATCAAGACAAGCTTAAGCACTCTGAATTTGGGCCAGACTAGGGTTCAGACCTCCCCATACCTCCCAAAAGATGATATAAAGGGGAACCTTTCAGATGGCTTTACCTTCCTTGGTAACGTATTACACACAGGATCTTTGACTGGTCAACTCTCTGCATTACAGCAGTGCTTATGATGTGTAAAGAACTGTGATCTTCTGTAAGGAAATTTCATTAGCACATGAAAAAAGCCAACCAGAAAACACTTAGCAATGTGTTTTCATGTTTAAAACATTCCACTAATGTAGATTATATCTTTCAACATGCCCTGGAGCCAGACAGAAATTGGGAATTCATCATAATCGGTGAATACTGTTGCTAGCCTGCTAGGAAAATCCCCAGCGCCTGCATTTTATCATCATTGACCTGGAGTCTTCAAGTGCTGTACAGTGAGGTACACTCCCTGCTTTCTTCTCCTGAGATGATGTATCTAACAGAAGCTGCATGACTTGCAGCCCAGGTGACAGAAGAGCTGAGCAGTGCTCTTCAGGAGGATCTGAAGTGACTTGCCATCCCGAATAAGCCAGTCCCACTTCTTCCTCCGAAGAGGCTGGAGAGGGAACAGCGTTTTGCAGGCTATTAATCTTCTCCTGAGGTAAGTGACAGTCCAGAACCTGGATCTCAAATGTGACAGTAGGTATGGGGCTCAGTGGTTAAACCTAAGTGTCCAGTACATTTGGGATGCTCTAGGGGATCCAAGAAACCCATCAAAGGCTAGAAGACATGACACTGGGGATCTTCTGGAGAAGCAGCAGAAAGCCAGAAGGGTAGCCCTGGGTTTCTAAAATGACATTATACACCTACACTTAGGTACTGAATCCTGCTCTGCATTGCGGTAAGCGATACTCTTTAATAGTGGCTGGGACATTTTGTGGTTGATGACAGAAACTGATGTGATGCTATTCATTAACAGCTTTACTGCCAGTGTTGGGACACTTCCCAAATGGCTAAAGGACACCTGGAGGCAGGACCCTGTAATCTCACTGACACCAAGAAGTGCCTCAAGTCTCCCCTTCCCTCCACTCCAGCCCCCATGGAAATCCAGATGCCAGTCCTAGAGAGGAGCTGCAGCACCTCCCGGGACGCTCTGCATGGCTGACTAAACATCCAGGACCCCAGAGTTGAACTGATGCTTGCCAAAAAAAAAGGTCATGCTGGCAGCAGTAGGAGTAGGTCAGTGTCAGGCTTGATCACTGTGCTGCCAAGCCATGTTGCCACAGCGACTCAGGAGCCCCTTTGCATAGCCTTCTGCTGCTGGCCAACAGCAAAAAAGGAAGACCATTAACCAAAATGTTTTTAAAAGGTGAAGGGGACTCAGGTGCTGTCCCAGATACACTGTGAGCTCCTTGAGATCAGCCTATATCCACCTTCATGTGAAGCTTCCATCTGGAGCTTTACAACCTCCAGGCCACCTTCTGCATGTTCTGCAAGCACCATCTCAAGACAGGCAATCCCTAAGCAGGTCTGTTTTGGCTATGTGAAAACAAAAAGCTATTTTTACTGCCCTGGGGTTTACTTGTAGAGGCCAGTGTCACCCATGGGAAGTCTCACAGCTTGATAAAATACTGCTTTAAACCGGTGCAACCTCTCCACCTCATCACATCCGGGGAAACCCTTTTCCTGGAGGTAACGCAATTCAACCTTCAGACAAGCTCAGTGCTCAGCCCCTCCTGGGAAGAAACTGCCAATTGCTCCAGAAGTACGAATAGAGGCTTTTGCAAAGTGGATTACTGTCCACTAGGGAAATGAAACACATTTCCCCGCTCCCCACCTCCTTGCTATTGCACGTGAATTGCAACCAGTGTAGCTGATGCTCTTACCTGCAAGGCTTCCAGAAACCTGAAAGAGCCAAGCCTGCGGCCACGGGGAACCAGACAGAAAGTGGCATTGTGCAGCATTTCACGGTAATCATACCTAACAAGAACAGGGAAGAAAAGAGAAAATTCAATTAGCGGTGAGTCCTAGAGTAACTGGGCGTGAAAATGCAAACAGCTGTTGAGAAACATCTGGATAATATCATCCCTGACCACGACCGCTCACCACCAGCTTAACCGGCTCCCCCCGTGCACACGCGTCAGCCATCTCCCTGGCTCCTTGTTGTTTATCCTCAGGAGCAACCACCATGGGAGAGAGCTGGGGAGAGTGGTAACAAAACTGAGAAGGAAGGAAATAATCTTGCCTTTGCAATAATTGGCCATTTCTTTATAAACAGGAGTTCTAGACGCATCAGTTCAAACAACAAACTTACATTAAGTATTTTGATACCCAAAGCACTGTTGCAGTGCTTCAGTGACCTTGATTTCTATTCAGATTTAGTCAAAGTCATGCACAACTGCGTTCATTTCTGCGCAAGAGGTTTGTACAAAGCAAAAAATATTCAAACTGTACCAAAGAAATCTTCCCTTATCATGCAGGCACTAAAAAGGGATGGGATGGGGCGGGGGGAGCGTTTACAATGACTCACTTCGTGTTATTGTCAAGTGTGGTGAGAGGGGTAAACTGCCAAATTTTGGCAATTAACCACATAGTTGCAATGACCCTTGCTCCTCCGAATTAAAACTTTAAGTGCTTATAGACACTCCTGGGTTTTTTTCCGATTCCATCAATCACCTCAAAACCACTCACCAAAACCACACATCAAATCCTAACAGTTTCCAGCCTGTTATTAGCTAATTGTATTTCTGGCAAACCCATGGAACTGCGAATGGCATCGACCTCATCTGAGACAAAAGGATCCAGATTAAACACCCTCCGTTCTCCACTGTCCTGGACTCTGCAGACAGATGTTATTTTGACAGTAACTTGTGGCACTGAAATTTTCTAATGCTAATAATCTAATTTAACCGTAGCCTGCAGGTAGAGCAATTTTTTTGCACACATGTATATGTGTATGTATATACATATGTCTATGATTATATTTTATATATAAAAAAGTCCGGATCCACGTTTGTATTCTCACACAGGCCAGACAGATGGAGTAAGCCAATTTTCAATTATAAGCTCCGTCTTTAGGAAGAGACATCTTGCAAAGGCCCATTTGCTTAAACAAGCGTGTATAGCTAATTTGCACAAGAAAAGGTCACTGTGAATGGATTAAGATTATCTCCACTGAGAGTAAAATAAAAACCCTCGTTGCATTAATTAAAACTACAAAACAGACTTCAAAGTACATTTTTTTTAAATCTTAGCTCAACTTTGGTTAAAATACGTATATACATATTCCATGTAAGTGACAGCATTTCTTTTTCTCCATGTGGGATATTGATTGGCAGTCATGTCACAGCTCACCAGCCAGCAGTGACACTGCACATGGCAGGAAAAAATCAGGAAACTAGATTACCAAAAAAAAAGTTGCCATTTTTAAGCATTCCTTTTTCACATACTGAGGTCTGAGGCTCATTGCTTTCACTATATATTGTATGACAGAAAATGTTAATAAATACCAAAAATAGAATACCCCGTAGGGCTAGAACACGCCAGTCAGAAGTCCCCCATCATTAGCTAGCTAAAATTGTAAAATCCAGTTAATACCCCAGAATGCAACAATATCCACAAAACGTCGATGGCAGAACCAGAACACAAAGAAAAGGAGCGAACAAGGCCAGCACAAGCGAGTTCTCTATAGGCCAGCAACATCTTATATTGAGCACGTTTTCTTTTATATTTAATTTGCTTATATTAGGATAGATTTACCACAGAAAAAAAAAAGGATTTTGTTGACCATTTCCCACCTGAAAACCAGTTATCGTCTTGCTCCCATTTGTGCGTTTTAAAGCCTAACGTGTGATTTATTGCTGAGCTCTGGAATAGCACGGTTCATGGTCATCAAGCAATTTATCTACATCATACGTACACAGGAAGGCTCATCCTAACCTTGATGTATGGGCACAAAATTTCCACTCACTTCAGGGAGAAACTGCAAATACAACAGGAGCAGACCCAGAGTAAAGCAGTATCTATCGAGAGCTGCAGCAGCGAATGAATTGCACCAGGGATTCTTCTCATGAACAAATTTCTCTGCAATTTCAACCCAAATGTTTTAGGGTGACTTGACACGATCTTTGAGCGTAGTGTTAAGGGACTGATTTCCAGTTTAATCCCCCTCAGCGACCACTCCAGGATCAAGCATCTATTTGAAATCCTTAAACACAAGATGCTAATTTTACTCCTACTAGTTCATGGGAAGCACGCAAAGCAATGGGGGCACCCTGCCTTAGCTGAAAGATAGAAGATAGCCAGTACATTTAAATACAAGTTTGGAAATGCCTTTCACACACCACATGTAGCGAACCACAAATACATAAACATCTCTGTCAAGCTGCAAGCATAGCTTTGTAATTTGAAGCATCGCTTGTGGAGGAAATGGTTTACATGTACCAAATAGTACTTCAGAGTCTAGTTTGCAGCAGAGATCATTTCATGTTTTTCTCAGAGTGCCAGGCAGCATTCAGAGGAGACCTTGGCCACAAAAACGTCACCTGGTAAGGGAAGCTCCAGCCTGCAGGCCATGGCAGGGGCTGAAGGCATCAGGGCAACCCTCAGTTTCATACTCCTTCCCATTCAGCCCCGTAAGAACCATGCATGCAGAAGGAGGATTGGGCTTTGCTGGTGTTTTGTTGGGGAAGGAAAATTGCTTACGTATGACTGGCATTTTTTTTCCATATAGGAAGCATACACGTCTCACCTGAAAGCATCTCTGCACTTCCCTTAACTCTGACTTGAAATGCTTTCAGTGAAGCCAGTGAGATAATCCCTATGATTAAAGGTAGGTATCTGAGTTAAATCTTTGCTGGACTTGAAATTTCTCCTTCACTTGTCCAGGAGAGAAATCAGAGTTGGCACAGACATCCAGAAACACCCTCTTAGCTAGAGCGGAACACTTGTACATTTAGCACCGATCTGGCATCTACTGCAAATACCAGTATCGCATCAATGACAGGGTTGATTTCCCCACCATTTTCACTGACTGATCTCAACAAGACCTCAGGGAGGCAATGAAGTATTATAACCCTGCTTGCAACTGGAGGAGGGACCTTAAGCTACAGAGAAAACAGTCCAGTGTTTAGAAGAGGTTCTTCCAGAGCCTTTTCTTCTTCTCCCCAGCAATGGGGGTTATATCTGTTTTCAGAACTACTTATTTCCATTAGCTGGTATTGTCTGAAGATGGCAGGGAGATTTGTTACGGTCTTACAGCTTGCATCGCTGTGGTTTCTGCCAACCCAGAGCTGCCTTGTCGGGACAGCTCTGCATTACCTGCCTATCGAGATGCTCTGGTTTTACCCAGCTAAGGAGGTTTTTCAGGGTCCACTTGTAGCTGAGGAATCAGAGCAAAGACCAGCACCGCAGGGCACTGCAGGGGCAGCCGGCCGGGCACTTCTTCCTTACTTGTGCTGCTTTGGTGTCATGCTCCCTCTGGCGCCTTCCTTTCCTTTCCTGCTGGCAGTTAATCTTCCCAAGCATTTACTGCAGGAAAGCTTTGAGAGGAGTCCTTTGCTTTGCTCGGAGGGTCTTCGTTTCCACAAAGCTCCTGGTTTCCATGTTAGAAGACTGCCCGAGAGAGAAGGCACATGCTTATTGCTCATATTCCTGTATTCTTTCATTCTGCATGCTTGCACCGAGGTAACATTTTACTGCCAATTTTAGGGTCGGCTTGGCCTGGGCCTCAGCTGCATCATTCAAACATATTAAAATCCAAAATGCATATGCCTTTAAAATGACAGTTGGGGCTTTAAAACTAAAATAGCTCCAGATTTAACCCAAAGCTGGCATCCCTCTGCAAGGATCACCAGTGTGTTTTATTAACTTTCAGGCTTCCTTCCGTAATGATTAAGTGCACCTTGTTCACAGCTAATACCTTTTTAGGCAGCATAAACAAATAGCTCTATTTGTAATCAATTCTAATTTATTCACACTTTAATTGAAATATCCCCTCCCTGCTACCACCCATTGCTGAGAAAACATGTTTGGCCCCATCTATCACGCAGGTGTAAACACTGCAATGCCATGCGGGCAATTATCTGAAGGAGAAATGCTGCTCAGCCAAATGCTCTTACCATCTTAACTTCTTGATCCAACACATTACTTCTATCTTCTCCCATTCCCCCTCCCCCCTTTTTTTTTCTTCTGATGTGCCGACCTTGTCAATCAGCACGTGGATTAGAGGGCTGCCTGGGATTCCTGGTTCACCATTATCCCAAGGAGCTTGGGCAGGCTGCAGAGGCTCTGCAGTGACTAATCAGCCATGCCATACATTCCTTCGCACAGCTTATACATTTCCCCATGTCACTACACTTAAGAGACTACAAACTAGCCTGGGAAACATTTTCACTACCAATTTTAACATAAACTATTTTTTTCCAATTCCACATCGTCACCAGCATTGATTGAAGAGAGGCCTAAAAGGACATAGGCTCTTTAGACCAGTAGATATGTCCAGCTACCCAGATGTAACGATTATCATACTTTATTCAGCTATATGTCACCTGTCACATAGGAATCACAAAGCAGTGTAGGTATTTTCTTATCTAATCCTCCGAACGCTGATACAGGATACCATCACCATTCCCATTTCCTAGATGGAAAACCTGAGATACAGACGACTGGTGGCTCCTCCAGCAGCTCAACAGACCATGGGAATGCTAACTCCAGCATCCTCACCTGCTTCCCTCCTCTCCGGTCATACAGCACTCACCGAAAACCAGCCATATGTTATGGCTATCAAAATTCAGATGGAAACACAGGAGCAGAACCCAAATCAAATACAACGGGTTTAACTCAAACCAAATACAATGAGTTTAACCAGCAGTACATATTTTAACAGTGCCACACATAATCCATCTTTTGTAAGGTGCTGGAGATCATCTTTGGCAGGGAGTATCAGCACATACCGCTGTAGATGTCAGATGGGACTAGAGTAGTTTTTTTCTTTCCTGAGCCAAAAACTGCGATGGCACTTAACCAACTATGTCCAGGGCTCCTTCCCTGAAACCGCAAGCACATGAACGCGTACTGCATCTTCCAAAAGTCTTTGCATCAGTTCAAGTGCTACAACAAAGACAGATATTAAACACCTACAACGCAGGGCTAAATGGTGGAGTGTTTCTGAGTTTTCCAGTATATTCAATTTCAGCTATTAACCACTTGGCCAGTTTTCCGTGTGTGAATGCTTAATGCAGATGGCTCTGAACTACTGGCTGGAGAGCCTGAAAAGAAACCCACTCTGTCACATGAAGTATCTCGTTGCTTGGTTTCCATTAAGGTATGTTGGCTTTTAAATAAACTATCAAGTAAAACTTGGCATTGAAAACACCAAGTGAGTAACTGTCTTTGTAGAAAAGCTGACAGCTCAGCTGTGCATCAGATAGATAGCTGCCCAAGACTGAGCTTGAAAGGCTAACGCATCCTACTTGGAAGGGTGCCGTCACCGCGAACTGCTTGCTTTCGGATTTACGGTTGCACAATGCTTTGGGGTGATCTTAATGCTGGTTAACAGGATACTGGCTGGCAGTTCATCTCCCTCTCTGCAA